TAACCTACCTATTATAAATGGCATGCTATTCAAAATCAAACCTTTAAGTCTGTTCTCAGTTTATGGTCTCGAGGTCATGTCACTAGATCAGTCACTGTAAATATATTTTTAGAAAAAAACATCTTGTCTATTAATCTGTGAACAGACGTTGATAGAATTAGTGATATATTGTGCTCATTACTCTCAAATATCCAAATGATACCCGATTTTTAATGGAATCGTATTTGATTACGTTGTCTAGGAAACAATCCTACCCTCAACCCCGTCCTTTCAAAACTAAAGCAACCTCCCCTTTGATTCTTTTCTTTATTCATTTCCGTTAGAAAATAGAAAAGAAGAATAAAAGGAAATACTTATTATCTCTAATAAATACGGTATTCTAAGAAATTGTATTCTTCCAATCATTTCTTGTGTTGCTGAATAATATACTCAGTATATAAGTGCCCCTTGATTCTTTACCTCTAGTCAATATAAGTGTACTATTATTTTATCTATGATCAAGTCCTTATCTCCATACAAAACACGGGTTTAAATGTTAAAGATATTTTAAATGTTAACTCTAAAAGTCGGCAATTTGGGCAATTGTTCTTTAAGATGTGCATTTTGCCGTGAAGTTCAAAACAGATGTATCATATGAATAATGACAAAAAGCTAAAGATTACAGTCTATGTTTCCATTGAACAGGTCTTGGTTAAACAATTGCTTACTCATTGTTTATAAGTAGACTGTCAATTTGATTGGTTATTATGTTTATTGAATACCTACAGGACTTCGGATGAACCATGTGACCGATTGCATTAAAGCGTTCAAACGTGGATGTTAGCTGACAACCATTTTTGTTAAAGCAACCAAAGGTAAGATTCGTAATAAATGGTAGAATGGAGGATAGATGAGGAATTTCAAAGTAAAAAGAAAAACTATTTCTCCTAAAATAAAAGTCTTCTAGAAATTCTACTTTCGTTTTTTAATCATTGTCAGTACTAATTTAGCTCATTATTTTCATAACAAATAAGACGATATAGTAAAATAAAACATAACCTTGTCAATATTGTCATCAATAATGAAAATTTGCGCTATATAAACAGACAACTTTTTTTTTACTGTAAAAAGAAAAGCAATTTGCTCAACCTTCTATTCTAGAGGGGGTTACAATAAGGAGGTGGGTCCTAATTCATACGGGAATTGTTTACTATGACGTCTCACTTAATATAAGCTCTTAAAAATCCCACAAAATGAAATTTTTGGCTATTTCAAACTGCTGAATAGCTTCAGACTACCTAAACACTTGCTATTACATGCAGTTTTATCGTTTGCTAAATCCCATACAACAACATGACGTCCTCTCGCAAAAATAACACGGTTTGTATACAGTGAGAGGCTGATTAAGTCCTGTTCTCAAATAAAATATTATTTTCAGTTAAAAAAAATAGGCCGTTAACTTGGATGCATTGTCTATTTTACAATTTTATTTATATGATATTCGTATATTTATCCAGACAAGTGATACTGTCCTGTGTTTGTATGCTGATATTCTTTAAAACAGTAATATTAATGGAAGGGTACTTCTAAATCAATTAATTTCGAGGGCATACTCTCAATGTATCTTTCCAAGTTTACATACATAAACTCAAGAAGCAGTAAGATATTTGAAAAGTGCTGCGAATTTTATGAAATCTTGCAAATAAATATTCAATATAGTTGACAAGCAAAAAAATTCAACCTATCGTCCATCAAATGAAATTTTAGAATTGAATAAGGAAATATTGAAGTTCGCTGAACTTTTCACAGATTACATATAGTGTTGAAAATAATTATAAATTAGACTAAGATTTTTACCTTGGTTATGCTTTCCCAATATTGGAATTTATAGATGACCTCTTACCTGTAAGTATAATTGCTACAATCATGTGACTTCGACATCACGTTACAAGTCTAAATAAAAAAAAAAGTGTTCTCAATTTTTTGATTTTAGCCACATTTTATTTATTTATTTTTATTTTTTTATTTATTCATTTTATATCACCCGTCCTTACAAAGTATACTTTTTTCTATCCTACAAAATCACAGATATTTACACTTGTATCCTGAACTATAATGCGTACAAAAAAACTGAAAGAACAAAGTACGGTATAAGCAGTAATTCGCCGCATATTATACGATATTTTAATCGTCTTTGCATCATTTTTTGATGTCATGCATCGAAGTAAGGAAGATATTTTCAGGGAAAAGTCAAATGGATTGCCGCATAAATAATAACAACAGTCAGCATAATAATAACAAAAGTGTTGCATTATGCATGTACTATGCCTAAATAGTAGGCAGGGTTTGACACATAGTGCACTCGCCTCCGGCTCGTGCACCATGTGTCAAACCCTGCCTACTATTTAGGCATAGTACATGCATAATGCAACACTATTATATAAATAGCATATTTCGTCCATGACCAATTCATCATCTTCCATATAAAACAAACCGTCAGGTTTAAATGTCAAAATAATGTTAAATGTCAATTCTAAAAGAGGGTTCGTTTGCCAAAAGTTCATAAAGATGTTGTTTTTGCCGCGAAGTTAAAAACAAATTATTTTTTAGTGAAAATATCCTTAAAATAGTTTCATTTTTTTGTCAAGTAAGGAAAAGGAAATTAAGAAACATTTTTTTATTTTTTTTTTTGGGGGGGGGGGATATCAAGATTGAAATATACAAAGTAATCATGCTATACCTATGTGTTTTTATCTTCAATGAATAAATAACAATGATTTAATACATCTGGTAATTTACGGGGATCGGAATATTATCTTATTTTCTGCCCAACAAAGTTGTCCAATTTTTTTAAAGTGTTAGTGTGTTAAAGAAAGTATTGCTTTTAAAGATTTCTTATTTGGATCGACAATTGTTCGTTATATATATTCACCTTTTCATTAGGATTATAGACAATCGTTAGAGGAAGTTTGAGCATTCATTCTGAAATTTCTTTAAAACATGGGAAAATTTGTATTTCTTTTACAAGTATAAAGCCAATTTTAAATCGTTATTGGTGCTAAATTTCCTTATTATTTTAATTCCATTTTTAATCGTCGGACTTTTGGTTTGGGTAAATAGATGTTTTTACGACCTTATTCAACGGTTATCCTGGACGACAGATCGCTCACTAGAAGGAAACAGTCGTGAAGAATGAAAACATTTTTTATGAATTCAACGTTTAGATCATTTACACTCAATTATCTTTTAATTTTAATAAAAGTTAAATTAAAGGGGGTAACCCGCGTATACACAAGGCGGATACTTCAAAGCGTTTGACGCGTGACTAAGTAATTGTATTCAAAACATGCACGTAGCAAAGGCGGCTAGCATGTCAAACGATTCAAAAGCTATTTTTTTTATAAATGATAGGCATCAATTCATTGATCTTGAAACAACTAGATTTTGAAGGACTTTAACGTAAAATTGAGTGTTTAAGTGAAAAAGGAAGAACGGCATTACGAGGGCTGTTCAATAAATAATGTCCTGAACTATATGACATATATTACAGATATCATATGACATTAAACTTGACTTTCTCTCATTATTGAATCTTTCTTGAATTTAAAACAGTTTATGTGACCACTTTTCATCACATCGTTTCATCGTGAGAAGCTGGGGAGCAAGGGCTTTTCGAGACACTGCATTATAATTGAATTTTAAAGAATCGGTAAACTAGAGTGAAAATAAAAGCTTCATTAAAGCTGCCGTAAAACTTGTTAAAAATCCCAAAGAAATATTCACTGAAATATATGACATTTACAGCAACAAATGCCTGTTTTATAGACAAAAGAGCAGGTGGATTTGAATGATAAAAAATTATATAATGGGCGTCAAAAATGGGTACCCTCCTTGCCAACAAAAATTATAACAACTTATGTACTGTTCACCAAATTTCAACAAATAATATTTGATGATGTATGATTGACTTTAAGACACATAGCAAATTTGATAGACATCACATCGGGGGTAGTTAACACTGAATTTAAGACACGTTTGACGGCAAAAAACTAGATACTCAAAGGTCACCCCATATTTTGAAAAAAAAATTGTGAAAACGACAAGGTGTAAATTCTTAACAATTATTTTAAGATATCAGTTATTGTAGTTATCGACGTTTGTTTTATTTTCAAACAGATATTGGAACATGAATCTATTGCTTAAAACCCTAAAAAACAAAATTTATCATAAGATGTACTTGATAAAAACGGCGAATGTCTGACAAGTGCACAGGTATGCAAGAGCACAAAGACAGATTTATATGTAATTTTCTTAAACATTAGTGGTATTGTTGTTCAAAATCGTATTCGGAGAGACAGGTTAATTCCTGGAGGAGTCTAGAAAGCACTTTTTTGGCCAAAAAATCAAAAGGTTTATTAGAGGAAGGACCCAGAATCATGAATCCACTACATTCAATTTCTTATAGACAGCGTCCAAACACGCATGCCCTGAAGAGAAAAGGGGTTTTCGGGATAAACAGAAAGTTAATGTTTTTTCACATAAACAATATTCGCCAGATCTTTGACCTTTTGACTTGTTTCTATTTCCAAACTTGGAAAAAACACCTTTCAGAAGGAAGAAACAAGTCCCGGAAATCATTGGATCTGCCATTTTCCAGTATACCAAGGGTCATACCCAAAAATGAGTTCTAAAAACGACCAGAAATTGGATAAAACATGTTACGGACATGTATTTTACTTAAAAGAGATTAATTAGTAAAATCATGAAGACTAAATCATTGAAAAGCGTTTTTTTGCTTCTCTCTGAGCACCGAGGACATTATTTATTGAACAGCCCTCGTAATTCAATTTTCAAATATGATTCTTTTATATGTTTAAAGTTTAATCCATCCTACAAATTAGCAAATTTTCGTCATACTACTCTTTTATCAAACTCTCTCTAGCTACAAAACCAAATATCCTTTATATTTCTTGGTTGATTAAAATTAATTATCAACATCAATAAAACTGATTATTTAGGAAATGGATGTGAAGTTCAGGTCAGTGACGTCATGTCCTACAAACGCCAGTTCTTGGCTGAGCAATGGCATTAAGTTACAATGTCCCAATGATACACTGGGTAGGAACCTGTACCAGTGTGTACCTAATGCTGACAGATCTTCACTGGTGGAGTTTTGTCTTCAAGGAAGTATTGGCAGATATGGAGCTAGTGAGTCAGCCTATTCTCCTAGTATATAATTAAACAATACTCTAATTTGATTTCTATTCTACTGCTGTTAATGTAACAATTTACATAAATATTATTTATCCAATTAAAGATTTGTGCCCTTATGCTGTACCTACCAGACACCTGGACGCCTATAACTGCTCAGCTTTTCTAAGTGGTTGTCCAGAAGAAGCCTATAACACGAATGAAGTGTACAAATGTAATTAGTATTTCTTTTATATGAAATATAAATGGAAACAATATTTTAATCGCATTTCCTTAATATTCCATTGAATCTATGTTTCAGATCCCACCTGTTTAGAAATAAATCCAGAGAAAAGATGTTATTTGGCAAATGCAAACTGCCCAAACAATTCAATGTAAGGAAACGTTTCGATTTTTTTTTTATCCGACTGTAGCAACACACTTTGAAAATAATTACGCAAAAATTTCAAAGTGCGTTAAAATTGGGACACACTCAACGCACTTTTATTTTTTTTTTTTTCAAAGTACATTAAATTTGGTGCACATTCATCGCTCTTTGAAAAAAAAAAAATCAAAGTGCATTAAGAGTGTACGTTAACTTTTTTACCATGACATTGTGGACATTTATTGCACTTTGGAAAAAAAGATGTATTTAAAAAAATTTCAGACTTGGATTTCTAGTAATTAAGAGAATTAATTTGTAGTAATTATATCTTTCGAAAAATATTTTAAATTACATACAATGATTTACCTTCATTGAGAACAAAGAGAAGATGAGTATATACATGATATAGCTAAACTTTATTTTCTTATACATAGCCGTCGGTAACATATTGAAAGTGTCACCCAAAGGTAAACCCCAATTTTTGATGCCTAAATTGTGTATATCCTTGCAGAACATTTGTGTGCCCCCCCCCCCCTCCGCTACCAGGTCTATGCTACATCCAAATAAATGAATTCGTATAGGTGGTATGACGAATAAAAACTTGCAATTTATTTTAGTTTACATTAAATGCATACAAACTGGAAAAAATTAAGTACAGTTAACATTTAAGAGAGAAAGAATTTTCAAAGCATGGAGAAATCTAAATCCTCACTTTCGCATCCTGAAGTGACCTTATCATTTATTTATCCAACAGTTCATCTTTTATCATACCTAAGATTTTCAAGAATATTGTAATGACCAAGACATTAAAATTTTTTTTTATTCAAATTGCGTTAATATGGTCGATATCAATGCACTTTGAAAAAAAAATTGTAATCATTTCAAAGTGCGTTGATTTGGTCCCAAACTTAATGCACTTTGATTTTCTTTTTCAAAGTGCGTTATAAAATCCGATTACATGCCTTATTTTCATTTCTGTTGTTATGTATTTATTATCTTTCTATATATTGTCATTTATTTGTTCATTTTATTGGAATTATGAAACATTATAACGCCAAGTAATTACTTCTGACAAAAAAAAAACCGTTCACATTATTCAAGTTATGATTTAGGTCAGTATCATCAAACACTACAGATCCTTACCAACCAGATGATGATACCACAGCAATTATTGCTGGTGTTGTTTCGACATGCATCGTAGACCTGGTCGTTCTCGTCGTTATATATCTCCTTTACCGTAAACGCCGTAACAATACAAGTAAGTAACAATTCCTTCACTTTAAAAATTTTTTCTTTTATTTCAAAAGTCTAAAATTTCCAATATATTATTTAACGTTAACAATTAAATTAATAATGGTCTTCATTGTGCCACTAAGGAAGACATTGTCATTAACAATGAAACTGTGTGGACTTATTTGTGCTACATGGTATATCAGCAATCTGGTGTACGAATATCGGAAGAAATATATGTGATAGAGATGTTGTCGAGGACGATGTCTTCGTTTTCTTCTGCCTCGGGGAGGGACAGTTTGACAAATTTAAAGCTTGCAGGAATCGTCTTTAGATTGTGCTACAATAAGAGAACTGGAAAAAAGTCAGTAGATTTTTTTAGTGATGCATGAAAATAGGTATACATGTAATTAACATGACTCTTATCATGCCATCATTGCTGCACAGATCTTAGTATTTTAAAGATTTTATAAATCAATATCAACAGCAAATTATCTTGCATTTTATTACCTCTTCCATTCTTCTGACAAAACCTTCTTGAGACTTACTTTTGACACTATGGTTTTTATCATTTCGAAATCCTTAGGATTAAATAACTCAACTTATGAACAAAATGACAAATTTGCTATTGATTCGAGACATTGAAAAGGATTCTAAACATTAAACAGAGTACAATAAAACAAAAGATTTTTTCTTTCAATTTTTTAATAACATTTGGAATGAATTACTTGATTGAATTAAAATAATGTACAGATTCAAATTGTAATATGTATATAAAATGAATCAATTAATGCAAATTGGAATTCAAATAGATTGTAGGAAAAAAGATTGCCTTAAAAAACAATACATATATATAGTCAAAAAAAAACTTATTACTGGAGTTTAAAAAAGCAGTATTAGTTATTTTTCTTAAAGTAACGATTCAGAAAGCGTTAAAAACATGCCTTGATGCTTATTTTTGTAATTCAGATTAATCTTTATCTGATTATTCTATATCTAAAATATGATCTTCGTTATCTGATTATTCTATGTCTAAAAAATGATCTTCGTTACATGTATCAAAGAATGTTAACTCGTCGTTGGCACCTGAGCTACAAGTTTCAGTCAATGGAGTCATTGACTTCAAATGTTATGGGTCAAATGTCTATTATCTCATTAAAAATTAGGGATACTGCCTATTATCACAATACTTTCATAATCTTGAAAGTTGTCTAAAACTAATTTAATCTGAATGTTTCAAACCAAGAGTTAGGGAACTTGTATATACATGAATATCTAAGAAACAGAAGACATTGGAACTTTATTTCGGAAACGAGAAAACTAAAAATGAAACAAAACTATCTTTTACATGAAATGTTACAAAGGGTGACTACTTTAAACTTGTTTCCAACAAGCTTGGGTAAAATCCATTAATTGTGTGTCAAACTTTTATACAAAATGGAGTCTCTACCCATACATTAAAACGAAATAAATTACAGCTGTTAACAAATTCCAATTCGAGTGCCAAAAAATTCCTCAATTTTCACGTCCTTCCTTTTCTTGCAAGAAAAAAAAATTAACTTCAGTTGCCAAAATGAGGGGTCGAGGTTAGATTTCGAACTGACGTATCTTATTTTAAGCTGTCATGAAGAATATTTGGTTAACATGTAATGCGGTTTTCTTTTCTTCTTTTTATTTTTACTGTTGCCCTCAAATTAAAGTGACATACAAAAAATATGGTGTTACTACGTACAAAGTAATCAGGGAATGGATTAGTTAGGGAATAGATTAATTGAAACAAGATTATTATAACTCTATTAAGTACTGTGAAATTACTTTTTTGGGGGGAGGGTGGGGGTCATTTTCGTTGTTTTCAAGATATGAAGTGATCCTAGAATTTATTTTACGACGAAATGCAAATGATCGCATGCGTTACTACTGAACTATTCATCATTCACGGAATCATGAACAAGCAATTTTCCTCAAACCACGAAAACATTACCCCTCGAAATTATGTGCTTTTACAGTAGATCTAAATTCTTTCTAATGTTTGTCGGTGGTTCTACCATTGTACCAATAACTGAATACTTTTGAGAGACCTCTAATTTGTGTCCTTTTTTAACAAAGTTAATGCTATCATGGGGCTGTGGTGATACCTGATATCATTTTCCCTAATATTCATGATCATGTAACTAACAAATTAAGAATCATCATGAACTATCAAGCTGACTATTAGTCGCACTATTTTGAAACAAATTCAACTTAGTTTACATTACCTGTTAATACCGTTCAGAAGCTTTTACTTTTTTATGGATTTCAGGAAATGAAGAAGAACGAGAAAGAGTTCCCATGCTTCATAAAGGTGAGAACTTGTGAATAAAATACTCAGGTAGCAAATGAATTCGTCTTTGTTTTCTTGTTTTCCCGTGTTTTCTACAGGATAAATGATTACAAGTCGTAGTTACTGATCCCCCTATGGGGAAACTTTATTATATGTATACAGCAAATTTTCCGCCAAAATAGGGTATTGGTTATGATTTTTAGCAAGAGGACCATGAGCTCACTTGAACACTCAGCCTAGGAAGAATCATACATAATTTCTGACCATGTATGAAATGAAAAGGCAGCGTACGTTTGAGAAACGTGCTCGACGTTGGTTTTAACGTCACAGTGTTGGTGTTGTTAACCGTGCTCCGTGGTGAGAAAACATGTTGCTTTTAAAATTGTCTAAATGTGAGTTTGATGAAGTATCATATCCAATATTCTATACGATCTCTTTCGATTTGCTTCTGTCGTAAAATTCACCAGTTCCTGACATAACACATGTCCACTGAGGGATGTAAGTACTGGTCCATGGCTATCTGATTCAATATACTTTGATTCCCTCAAATGACATCTCCATTCCTTGATTGCACTTTCAATTTTCAATTCTCTGTCATTACATTCGAGTGATTCTACACAAGCATGAGCTAAAACATTTTTCTTCAAATTTTTTAAAGATTGATGATTCCGACAAGTGGCTAACCACGATTCATCACTTGGAACTCCTCTTTTCAGCCATCCTTTCACATTTTTGTTTTCTTCTTCAAGTAGAAAATCTAAGCCTTGACCCCTGCTTTTGTTTCCAGATTTTGACAAACTGCAAAATTGTTCAAAAAACTGTTTCAAAACATCAGGCAAAATTCGACGTATAAAAGTTTCGTAGATCTCTATTTCTTGGTACTTAGGATGATTCCTCCCATGAAAAAGTTCTTTCGTCATCCATTTTGCTGACATCAACAACTGAGGATTATTTCGCCTTACAGCAGCACGTAAATTTATTATTCCTTGTGAGTACTTGCAAACCATTTCAAATAAATACATAAAATTGACATTGCATTGAGTCTTGTCATATTGCTTCACGAATGAAATGAAACCATGAGCAGTACAGTCAAGACTCTTTTCAAGACAGTCTATGACATATGGCCGGACCAGTTCCATCATCGAGCCAAAATGAAATGCATTTATGAGCTGCCATGTTTTGTGGTTATCGGTACAGTGTTGAGCACAGTGCAATGCCTTTTCTGACTTCCAACCCATTAACTCAACAAACTGTTTCATGAAGACAGTCCAGTTTAGTTCCATGAAGCTTTTCATTAGGTTCATCTCATAATGTCCTTCACCAGTTAACAAAAACACCCAATCAAATTCTTTACTGAAGTAGGGTGTTGTTCCAGGATGTTTCTTTTCAGCATGGTTTTGAGCTTCTTCAATTCCAAGATATCCCTCTTTACATAGAGAACATATGAAATACTCTTCCACTAAACGCCTAACAAGGGAATGTGGAAGCCCATCACAGCAAACGAAAGTCCACGATCGTATATATACATCCTCCTTCTGCTCTTCAGATATGTACTTTTTTATGTTTGCTTTTTTCCCTATGAATCTTAAGATGAGAATCATACTTTCTATTGAATTAGGATTGACAAAGACAGGATCTAACAAAGTCACTTCTACAGGACTACCAGAGTGAAATGATTGAACATGAGCATATTGCTGATCAGGCTCCACACTTTTCTTTTTACTTCCAGTATGTTTTTCAACATTTGAAATTCCATGATGCCTACAGAAGGTGGTTACATTTTTTACTTCTTCCTGTCCTAGGAAAGTGTTTTGGGCATTGTGGGACTTCTCTTGAACAGATTGACTGTTCTTAGATTTTTTCTCCTGACAGTTTGGACATTTCCTTGCTCTTTTCCCAAACTTAGTGTGACATTTTTGGCAAGTTTGATTGTACAGATTTTCCATTTTCTTTGATATTTCAATGTCAAGTGCATCCTGCCACTTTCCTGTCTCATCCTTTTGATGCAGTTCTTCTTTCACATGTCCTATAACATTGTGCAAATGATGATACAGCTCTTCATAATGAGTATCAATCAACTGTTTGTTAAACATGTTTCCATCATCCTCTGGATTTTCACACATTTCCTTGACTGTTTCATCATTTCTTTCAGAAGTTAACCATAATTTTGGACTATACTCTGGCATTTCCTGAAGAGGGGAAGATGTTGGAATTTGTACAACTGCTACATTTGTGATCACTGACATTTTGACTTTGTTTTGTGCATTTATGTTCCATGTTTTTCCAATAACTTGTTCATTGTCAAATATAAATGCAACATCACCTTTTGGACATGGTGATTCAGTATCTTTTTCTGTTGAGTTTAGATATGATGAAATGTATGAGTATTTCCCTCCTGGAATGGCTGTACCAAGAATGTTACATGCTTGTCTACTCTTTGTGCAGGAAAATGTCACTAAATTTTGCATAAACGACCATATTCCTATGAAGTCTTTCTCAATCAATCTGTAAATTGATTCTATTTGGGGAATTATAGTCTGGATTTGTATAGTATCTTTGGTTTGTCTTGTTATTGACAGCAAAATATGGAGAAGGCGAGAATCTAAAGCAGAAAGATACTCATGGGGGTAAAAGTTGTTCAACCTTTCAATGTTGCCATGCGGATATTGACAGCTGACTTTGGCAATTTGTTCTTTTAATAAAGAAAGAGGCATATATGATTCTAAAATCTTTTGAACACAAATATTTTTTTCCTCTACATCCAACAGTTCAAACTGTTGAATTATCTGCTGTATCTTGCTTTCGGAAGAAGTTTTGTCTTGACTTCCTGATGCTTCGTTTTTAGCTAACATGTCTAATGTGCATATTTCACAATTTCTTTCATGTTGAATAAATTGCCGAGGTGTTTTCATTTTCTTCTTATCCAATTGTGGAGTTATTCGTGGCTTTTTAGACTTCTTCTGTTGAGTATCTGATTTACTTCTATATAAATGACACCGACAAGACTGACACAGGAATTCGGGATGAACAGATGGAATATCTTTAAAAACGTCTATGTCATATAGCTGCAGAAGTTCCATGGAGAAGTTTGTTTTACAAGTCCGTTCATTATTTTTTGTTGATTTCCCACAAAGTCTGCATAATTTCTGTAAGTTGTTAACATGCTCTACAAGAAGGAAAAGTGAAATAGAAACATTTTTTAATAAAACTGGTGTGTATTAGTCTCTAATCTAATCATGCTAATGGTTGCATAATTGTCACTTGTGATTTTTTCATTATGTTGAGAGTGTAAAACAAAATAACCACTGAAAATGTCTTAAATTGCCATTTTATTTTGTTAAACATTTCAGCTTATAAAGATTTTTTAGAATTGAAAAAATATGAAAATTTACACATTGACAGCATGTATACCAAGTAATAACCACATGCTGTACATGAACTCCCATGCATCATGCACTATTACTTTTTTCCCTATTAAACATAAGTACATCTGAATTTTACATCTTTTTGAAAACTAACATATGTATTATCAAACTGATTTGTTTTTTGTTTGTTTATTTGAATCTTTTTGACGAAATCTGGTTTTTGTTTCAGGGTACTATACCTGACATTGATAACTTAGAGTCAGCATGCTACCATGGGTTTTGTTCACATGGTTTAAGCAATGAAATCTATAACTAACATGACTAATAGCATAAGCGTCGGAACCTGGGGGGCTAGGGGGCTTAGCCCCCCACTTTTTTTCCCAATATATACTTAGTATAGGCATTGAACAAATCTTCGTAAGTTTAACCCCCCCCACTTTCCATAGACTAGTCTTAGTATAAGTTAAAATTGGTGTTAGGAAGAAAATTTTTTGGTACTGGACTTCGAACCTTCAATTTGCTTCCGACGCCAATGAATAGTAAAATATATATGACTTGTTGGGCGGATTAACATGATTAAACTATATAATAAAGAGGGTAATGTAATTGTTACGATGAACACATGATGAAGTGAGTTTTTGTAAAATCTGCACTTGGTCCAATCATACCAACAGTCAAACTGTTTACATGTAATCATGTATATAATTAACAATCCATAATGATTTTTTTTTATTTATACATGTTTTATGGTTATTCCTAAGCATGCTGACATGAATATAACATGCATAATGCACATTGCAAAGACATGCAAGAGGTGGAACCATGGACCAATGTGATGATGAAGGGCATAGCTGAAGCTTTATCAAGATAATGTATCGATATAAAGCATGTAAATGATAAATAAATGCATAAGCATAAAAATATTGAAATTAGTGCTGACTTTCACCAATGTTTACATGGTCTACGATTGTTTCACAGTTGCTTTATCTAATATGCAAACTCTGGATGGTTTTTCCGTCCTTAAATTAGTTTAGCCTTATTGGATGGATTTCTCGTCCAACTGATTCAGATAATTCATTAGACGGGATAACCGTCCAAATGTTAAAGAAAAATGGTCTGACCTAAATAAATCAGCATCCGATCGCTGTCCGATCAAGTATTTTCTTGTTTACTTTAAACCATTTAAGTAAGATATCTTAAATTCTAATTAATTCAAGATTCTGTTTTGTCTAAATTTACAACGTTTTGAATTATAAAAAGTACATAAAACATCATTAAACTTACCCACTATCTCTCTGTCGTTTTCCTGTTTTTCATCCATTTTGACGCTACCACGTGACCGGAATGGACTTTGTAAAACTCAGAGCAAGTGCGATCGTACTTTATATTAAGAATTTTTCCGGAATTCTGACGACTTAGCCTTTCAGATCTTTCTATATACAATAAAAGCCGCTATTTAATGAACTCGAATGACAGGACGGGAATTCCGTCCATTTCAACTGGACGGTTTTCCGTCATGGACTTGACTGGTATTCTTTCATATGAATATTTTAACCATTGCTTTTTTGTTCTTTAATAGACGGATTTTAAAAGTTTTCTCCCCAGGTATTACTTTTGCCCTGCCCATTCCTTCCAACATTATATATAGAATATCTTTCATAATATTACTCATCTTTGATTTGCTGTTCTTGAGCAATTTTTTTTTTAAAGATTATTCCATTGTATTCATTTGAAGAAATTTGACCCTCTGTTCTGCCCCCATCCCTTGGTTCTACATGTACCTACACAAAATGTTGCTTATTTCTAAAAATAACTAAAAGCAGCTTCGATGTACTTCTATAAGAAAATGAAAATTTCTACGTTTAAATCCTATTGTGACGTCAGTTAACCCGCTCTGTACCTTAAACTGGGCCTTCGGCTCAGGTGGGCTAATGTTAAGCCTTTCTGGTAATCTGATCAATATATTTTACATCGAAGCTTTGAACAATATTTTCATTTTATCCTTGTACTATCGTATATCACACTTACGGGTATTTTTTTACGTGTGCTAATTTTTACGAGTTTTATAAATCTGTAGAATTTAATTAAACGCTTAAAATTTCACAAAAATAAAAAAAAAAGCCTTGCCTTAATTTTCAGGTACTTATGTTTAGAAGGGTATCGACTATAATTATCGTTTAACTCAGTACTTTTATAATGATCGTCAATTGGGGACAAACAAGTTGATATTAATTAAAGCATTAGGTATTCAAACATCGTCATTTACCTGATCTTCAAATTATACCCTTTTTCAAGGCCATTGTCCCTTTCTTCTGTATTGTTTGCGTTCAATAAAAACGTGACCTTTTCAAACATTATTACAATAAGTGTCAAATTAATCATTTGAGTTGTCTCTCTTTATATTTCCGGTAAAATGAAGACGAGCACATGGCGCTAATCAATAATTATACTTAGCAAATTGTGTTTAATTTATGGTCTAGTAATTCTACTGAAAAATGAGAACTAATTGCAACAGTATATATTTTAATGTAGAATTGTAGATAATATAAACTATAATCTCATATAAAAGAAAGTGTACATAATTTATGGAATCAAATGAACAGGATTTGATTTGAAGGTTTCTAAGTTACAAAAATCAAATATTTAATTCCATTCAGGTATCTCCGGAACTTATATTTGAACTGCGTAATTCAAACAATTTTTTTGCTCTCCAAATTTACTGTTTTTTGCTTTTGTAAAGAGTGCAAACCTTATATAAAAAGCCAATTGATATTGACCTTTTTTCTCTATAAAGACTGCATCATGCATCTATACATGTACAAAAGCTGCATTATGTTTATAGTTATGGAAATAATTCAAATGGAATCGTTTAAGCAGAATTAAATGCTTAAATGCTTTTTTTTTTAATTCTTAATGTAACTTTTCAAAAAAAAATTAAACACACTTTTAAAAACTGATGCGGCACTTACTGAAGCTCCATTTTATGGGGACTGGTGATAATGGCGTTTCCATGAGCATGCTTTAGAATAGAATGTGAACAATCTGGAACACTTTCAAAGTCACTTCTTCTTAAGAGCAACATTGAAAAAAAGAAAAACAGATTGACGTGAATCTTTCTACTATAATTGTATATTTTTTAATGTCCCTCTCAAGAATTTTTCATGCCTATGGAGACGCCACCACTTGCCGCTGGAAAGCTGCACATTTTGTTCTATACTCAGCACTTAGGACCATAAAGCAATGGGGGATCTTTTTCGCGCCAGTGCCTCCTGCGACACGGGACCTCGGTTAATACGGTATTATTCGACAGGTCTCCACATCCAACAGTGGGATTCGAACCCGCGACGTAAGGATCGACTCCTTACTTCGCAGCTGTAGTGCAGATGCTTTACCTAATGCACCATGCGGGTGAATTCCTAGATTAAAGTCAAAGTCTTAGAATTTCTATTACTGTTAGGATAAAAATATTTGGGGAAAATATAACAAACATTAATAATACTTTTACATATGAATTTGAACAGGTAAAAATTGACTACCAGTATCTACCAAGAGTTTAACATTTAATTCTTCCTTGAAACAAATACTTAGCTTGCTTTTTTTTTTACTTCATTCCATCTGTATAAGTGCTTTAATTTGACCTTAATTTTTTTATCAATAAGAATTAAATAATCTAATGTGTGCTTTCAATTGTCCCCACCGTCTTAAAGTAACATTACATAGCAATGGTTTGAAACACATTAAGATTTGAGAAGGGTAAAAATACAATAATTATCAACTGCACAGGACCTTTGCGCACTGATTTCACGATATTTTGTACTCAATGTATTTAATTACTGTTGATTCGGCTACATCTTGGTCAACTATGATTATTTTAAGGGGATAACAATTTCAGATTTTATCCTAAAACGTGTCTTATCTTCATATTATTGAATGTAGTTGAGGGTTAAACTGAAAAAAAATCTTGAAATATTTTTGGAATATCACCATCCATGAAGCAACATTAAATGTTGCTATGTTCTTATCACACCGGAGGGCGTGGTTTCATTAGATGGAGGGTAAAAAATGCATTGAGCCACTTGATATGAGTAAGATATTATTTTTATTAAACGCCTGACAAGAAATACCCTGTAGGGTACCCAGGTGTGGGGTGGATTCAAGTTCTGATCAAGCTAGAACCATCATACTCATTATAGTGTCCAAGCTTTTTATGATACTGCCTTAAACTGAGTTTTTTTTTTAAATTTCTGAGCATTTTATACAAGTTACCAAACAATCATATTGCAGGGACTCAAAACTGGTGTCACATCTTAAAAGAAAATTTTCTGAAGGGTGGACAATACAACTACAATGTAATATATGAAGAACAGCTTTGCTGTGCGTAAAAAAAATTCAGATTTCAGAATATTTTTTGACAAAAAAAAATTAACAACCTACCTAATCCAGAATAAAAACATATAAAATTAATGTGTTTCGGTGAGGAATGGGGTTCTGTGAGATCTTCCCACAATATTCTTCATATACGGGGAAAACCTTTCAGCTACAGGAGGGATTCGGGGAGGGGGGTGGGGGGTGCATTTTCTGCTTTCTGAAATATTTTATTAGCATTGCTGAAAACCGAAATTTTTCATGTAAAATTCATTGATAATGTATCCATGGAAATGTAAATGTTCATTGTCAAAAGTAGGTGATAATCGCAGTTTATACTGTTTCCAAGGCAACCAACACATATAGTAACCAATATTTAATATTTTTCCAATTCAGTTTATTCAGTTAAGTTTATTCCCCTACTTATATGTTCTTGTTTTTTAAATCAGTATAGAAGTTTTTACTTTACATTGTTCGTTTAACACGTAATCAGAGTGAACACAATGCGTCCCAATAATAACCTCAGTTTTTCAATTTTCCCATGTATAAATTTTTCTTAACTTTTTGTTATATATTCAGATCATATCATAGATTGATGAAAACTAAGTTTTCAAACTGTTGCAATTAGTTCACATTTTGATGGAAAATTTGAAAATTTGACAAGACTATTGAAGGAGGAATCTAAGTAGAACACATGATATGTTGTGGTAATTCAATGAACAAACATATCGCAATTTAATGAATCGACATTCCATATCGCTGGAATAATTTCATTATGATTTTACATCGGACTTGCATATGCATTAGTCCTATTTGTATGTAAACACATTCTCCGATGATTTTATGTTTTGCAGACATGCTCAATTCGTTAAAAATTAACGCGTTAAAATTTAAATGACCTTATTTCAGCCAAAATTCGTAAAGAAAAACTTACAGCAGTTAAAATAACCCGTTATACGGTATATGAATTATACAGAAACAGTTATCAAGCTAATGGATTTATAAAAAAATCAAATTTTGAGCAGAGGAAAACGTACCTCTAAAGATATCAGAGTTAATTGAGAATAGATTCCATAAGTAGGAATCCCCATCCGACCGGTCACAATTGCTTTGTACTGTTTTGAATTTAATCTACTGGAAGGCATAAACTATATGGACGTTTAACAATTGCTACTATTGTATGAAAACGGAAGGGCTACGATAAACTGACACTGATTGGGAAATGAGGGGGGGGGGATAATTACTTGTGTATCAAAGGGTCATCTGGCTGGCTATAAAGGATTCTGAAAATTAAGGTTCCTCCACACACCCACAGCCTATGTTTTCATATTATTGAACATTACTTTTAACAAGCATATCAACCTTTAAAAACTCTCCAGGGGTTAAAATGTAATTTATACTGAATTTTTAAAATAGTTATTTCACAAGTTTCACGATATTTTTCTCAAGGCGTTTTCATACCTAGCACAACAAATTTTGTCTTAACCCTCCGTATATTTAGAAGCTCAAAGAATAATCATAAAAACCTAATTTTATCGATCAACACATTTTTTACAGAAATTTATTTTATTTATAAAAAAAATACATAAATCTCATTTTCTCTGAAATACATCTCGATAAAAATCAATAAGGACTCTTTTTGTAGAGAAGAAACATTGATGAATTAAATTACATCAAGAAATTAAATTAAAATTAAATGCCACGATGTAGAAAAACATTTTCAAAATCTTTGGTAACAAAGTTCCTTTTTGGAGTTATCTTTCCTGTTGTCCGGGTCTCAAAAACTTAGGCAAGTCTCTGCATATGTTACCATACTACATGTATATATTAAGTAATTTACTGGCCACTGAACTGGACAGATATGAAGGAGGAAAACTAGAAACGCACACTATTTTATAAATCAATATTTATAAACACACAATGAGATAATGTATTATTGAAACGCACAAATTAGTCTGCCGAAATCAACTATGAAAAACACACTCGGTTGATTAGCCTGAAGCGTATAAATAACTTAAACGTTTCTCGTCATACCCACCAGTACCTGTTGTTTACGAATTATAATGTTTACTAACATAAACGCAATTCCTTTTCATCGGTCACTCCGTGATCATGCTACATGTGCTATGTGTTCATTGTTTACAAACGGTGGAAGGACAATTCGTGCATGTATATTCTTGGTAAAACCGGAAGTAAATTTGCGTATTTTTTCTCTCTATGCGTCACAAGTCACATGGTGTGGAGAACCCTTAAGCTTTACAGTGAAACCTGTCTAATCTGACATGCACTGGGAGACAAATTTTGTGTCGGAATAGACAGGGTGTCGGATTGCACAATGTTAAAAACAAGGAAAATACTAAAATGGGAACAAAATTTAATGTCGTAATTCACAGTGTGTCGGATTATTCAGGTGTCGGATTAGACAGTTTTCACTGTATTTCTGTTTCGGAAACTATTATATTACATTTTCATTGTAGGGAGGTGGGTCTCTATATAACCAGATTTCAGGGAGTTTGGATGGGAAAGGCTTCTAATAATACAGCACCGATATTCTCGAGTATGAGAAGTAAGCTAAGGGATATGATTAGAAGCAATTTTGAATTTCAGAAGATCTCAATTTATTTTTTTCTTTTAGGCGAAATATACGTGGGCGAATACGGCTTGTGGATAACAGAAATATCAGGTGAGCATTTATGTACAGAGAGAAGATTGAATCAATTAGTTTGTTTGTAATAGCTACATGAAGCGTTTGTTAATTTTTTTTTTCATATCGATTATCACAAATATAGCAAGATATTGATGAGGAGAGTTTCTTGTTTCATTCAGTTACAGTATGACAATATAGGTCATACGTCGGTTCTAAGTATAAAAAAAACAATAAAAGATATTGACTAGACACATTCCCTTACGATAGCGGTATAGTTTATTTTTAAACTCAAAGCGAAGAAATGACTATGCTTGGAAACCCCCCTCCCACGTTTCAACTCTCTGCATCTGCTCCAGTAGGACAAAAGGTTCCATATTTATATGGTTACAATATAATCAAGGTCACGGGTACGGATATCTTTTTAACATTATTCGTCAGACAGTTTGCGATAGAGATGTTAATTAAATAATCGAATTATAATTTTCACTGTTGACTAAGCAGCACCTGTCCATTTTTTTTTATTTTGAAATGATACATGTATTATCAATTAATGTAACAGTTGTTTACTGTAGATTCAATTTCTCCATGAGGATTTTTTTTCTATATGTGAATGAATTGATATAAATGTATTTAAATATTCTTTTTTTTCCAAATGAAAAGCGAAAAGTGTAATTATTTCTATTGGTCAGACCCCAAACTTTGTTTTTTTCGTGTTTCTAGAGAGCATATAATAGTATTATTTGATTTATTTGTGATAGTACATGTATTGCTTATTACTTATTAAAGGAAAATCATTATTTTAGTTTATTTATATTGTACAAACAGTACTGTAATCAATAATGCATTTAATTTATAGATCAGTTCTACACACTGACTGATGACGAGATGTCCGTGTTATTCTGTTTTCTGTGTTCTGACTCCGGTCCTCCTGACTTCACTGACACAGAGTGGCTGGACAGGCTTAATGAGATACCACAGTTAGTGTACGAAAAAGAGAATCCTGTAACACGTGAGGAAGCACAGCAGACTCTGGACAGACTGAAGTCACGTGATTACCTTTGGGAAGATCAAGACAAGATGACGGAGGACACCAAAGATGAGATAATGTATAGGACAGCGTCAAAAAACCGTCATATACCATTCATTTACAGTAGTTATGACACAGCCAGTGTTTACCTGAGATCAGCAGGATACAACAGAAAACCTGGAGAGAAGTGTGTCAGTAGTTATTACACTGAATGTGATGACTTACTGATACTCCGTCTACAGATGAACATACTGACACACGTCACTTTAGAGGACACGGATATATATGATGAGATACACCAGATATGTAAGTCAGTGTGGAGAAATGCTTAATATTGTCCGATGTTTTAATTAAATGAAAGAATTTATTGAATTCATATAAATCATAACTGAAAATATATTGCAATGTTGGATAATGATCAATATCAGGTACATTCATGTTATAAAGAGTGGATATTTGTTTTATAACTGAAAATCGAGTGGTTCTTAAAATCATACTTGATTCAAATAATATTTCTTTTGATAATTATTATAAAAGTACTATTACAATATTAATATACATTATTCATTTTCTTTGACAGTGAGTATCCCAGCCTTATACTGAACGAGGATGATGATAAACGGAAACAATTACTAATGGATCTAAGAAGAGGAGGGGAGGTTGTTAGTTACAGAGGAAGATCACATGACAGTGTAGATCGCGTGACGTGGCTCTGGAGATACTGGAACTTAGCGAGACCTGACATCGTGAGATCCTGTATAGGTCTATATCCACACAATGATATTTACATCATCGACAACAAACCTCACAGAAAACCAAGTAAGATGATAGATATAATGATTTTTAATTTTGATTTACAAACATGTAAACAGAAGGCTTAACCCATTACAATTTTGCACGTATTAATCTTTGGTTTTTCAAGAAAGAGGGGGGGGGGACTATAAAGTCCCAGGCTGGTGAACACTTATTGATCAAAATTGGTACGGGTAAAATAAAGATATGATAGAACAGAAAAAAAATGTATGTACGAAATACAATAATTAAGACATGAAATGGTATACATAAAAAATATATGTTATAAATGAGAAATTTTCTCAATAAAACAATGTGGAAAATCTTATTTCCACTGTTTCAGTCCTTCTAACAAAACTACAGATCGCTGGATTAAAAAATAAAAGTGTGTTGTTTTGTTGCTATGCGTTTCTTGTATTCAATATGCGTTGCTTATAAGTTTTTCGTTTGGATGTGCCTTTACTACATTTATAAAGCAAGTTTGAGTATCATAAGGCAATAAATATCATAGGTCTCTCTACATAATGCATTCTGATCAATTAAAAATACTAGGTACTGTCTGCTTATACTGTCGTATAAATAATTTTTTATCATGTTGTTGATAATAGAGAGAAAAAAAGAAAACCCTAAAAAATAGACAAGTACATGTATATCTTGTACAGTGTATGTTGTTTACTTTTCTTTGTGTTTTAGGTGAACATCGTAAATATCCACCGGATGTCATGAGTCTACTGTATTCTCTACTTTTAACTGAGAAATATCAGCTGAATCTCAATGAACAATCTCACAGAATCATAAGAGAAAAAATTAGAGACAGATATTTCCCCGATATTACGGAAGACAACTCGGTAGATCTACCTGATGGAATCACAGAAACACGTGACGATATGATAACGTTTATATCAGACGACATCCGACATGACGTCATGTACGCCTTTGTAACGGACTGTCTGTTGAAAGACAGTGATCTGGAGTTTTTTCTGACCACGGCGTCATGCCACGTGATCTCAGAATACTGCCGGTCCTGGTGGCATGAGAGAAGTGAGGGCGAGAGATGTCTGTTTATACCGAACAGTCCGGAGAAGATGTACGACCTCTTCATAGACAAACTTCAGCTGGACATCATCACACACTGTACCGTGTCTGACAGGGGGATTCATAAAAGGATCAGTAAACATTGTGAGTATTACCTGTGTATAAATATGTATTAGCATTTCCTAGATAGATTTCTGTTTTTCTTAATCATGTTAATTTTGTTCTGAAATTGGATAATATATACATGTATAAGGGCCAGGTTTTCATGCCTTTAGCCATTACCCTATTCTGTCAACTTCCCAAAGGGATTAGGATTTTTAGTAGCTGCAGATCTGTAGCTCTCCGAAAAAATATATATTGATAGACTTCCGGTCTATCAACACATTTTTTTCGGAGAGCTACAGATCTGCAGCTAGCTTTTTAGTTGAATATCATATGATTAGCAGCCTTTAGAAAAGGGTTCTTATGACAATCTTTATACATTCGTAATATTCTTCATAGATTCTTATACAGAGACATGAGAAAAGTTAAAAAGTGTCAAATCATAATTTTTTTTCATTTATATCAAAGTCATTTGAACGAATAAATAATTACCCCCATATTATTATTTTTTTTATTAAAGCAAAGCTGTTTAACGCGAACTTGATAAGAATAATAACATTGGTATGTAACGGACCTGCGCTTAGTTATGTATATTTTGAATATTTCTAATATTTCATTATGTAGGGACACCAGAGATACATCTTCAATTCTAATTTATTTCTTAAGTCTTCATTTCATTCCATGGAGTAATCGTTTCTGTCACCTTTAAGATTTGTTTGGAAGTCTATACAAAGAAAAAAATATATATTGATAGACCGGAGAGCTATAGTGTCACCCATAGAAAAAAACTTTGTATTTAATGCGCAAACAAAATGCGCTCGATTCTTGATGCATTCTTCCATATTCTTACCTCAATTGCAAAAAATGGAAGATTTTAAAACATTCCTCTCTCCTCTATTGAGTTCTCTCGTAGTTGACATCTAGACGAAGCATATTGGACCGAATCATCTATGAAACCAAATTGGCAGTATAAATAAGCGAAATGTTCGATGATTGCAATATCAGGACCAGGGGGACTATAAACAACAATTATGAGGAATTTTTGTTGTTGTGGAAAGAGTCATAGAATATGTTAGAAACACAAGGTTAGTAATATTTTGAGATAACAGTTTTAAAAACATGGAAAAATAAATCGAGAACCGAGTGCATTTTTTGTGCATATAAATATACAGTTTTTTTTCAATGGGTGGTTTTGTAACTCTCTGGTCTATCAATATATATCAAAAATATTCAATCACTTTTTGAACGTTTACTATTTTAGCTTAACCGAGCTAAGGGCTTGCAATTGTGGGCTTTCTTCGGTCATATTTATTTCCAACATCAGGCTATCCGTTCACGTCCGAGATGATCCATCCCCACCTACCCCTTCTCATCTACCCTCAATTAACATAAATTATATGCCACTGAGTTGGGTTTCAAAGATACTTATCAAAAATATTCAGTCACTTTTTGAACCTTTACTATTTTAGCTTAACCGAGCTAAGGGCTTGCAATGGTGAGCTTTCTTCGGTCAAATTTATTTCCAACATCAGGCTATCCGTTCACATCCGAGATATATGAACATTGGGTATACTTTTTTTATAACGGGGCATATCCTTCGATATGACTGTGCGATGTAAAAACAAAATAAATATGATCTAAGAGATGACATTGACTCTAAACTGCGTAACATTCTCATCCTAGAACATGTATAACTTCATTCTTTTTCGTTCACTTTTCTTGGTCATTTCATTTTTTTTAATTCCACCATTACTCTTTGATATTCCTAGCCTTATTTCAATGATTTTTTTATTTGGTTCACAACCTTTGCACATATAGATTTCTGATAGTAATGTATTTTAAACACCTTAAACTAGGAGAAAAAACATTTAAAACTCAAATTCATACTGTTGCAAACTACAATGTAAGAAATGATTTGGGGTGATCAAATTGTAGTGTCGGGAAAAATATAAAAGTGGGAAAAACATTAGATTTTGATTGAACAAGATAATAAGATCATAACAAAAAACATTTACACAACAAGATGTGTTTGTCAAATACCATGCGCCCGGCGGCAACAAAGTTCAAAAAAGCTATTTCTAGCATATAGGCCACGGTGAAGGTCACAAGGTCATTGCAAAAACTCGAAAAAGTTATTTTGACTTCTAAGGTGAGCGATGGGATCCATTGCCTCTCTTTTCTTCTGAAATGCATTTTATGTTTGAATGATACATAAAAAGTGTATATACTGTACATGGATAAATATGATATACATATCATGGATGTTAACTCTGTTGCTTGTTTTTTAAGCAAAAATAAGTCTGTCTCCCAAATTTACCAGTTTGATAAGCTGAATTAAAAATTATGCAGTATATAAAAATTCTGTTCATTGAAGCATACATGTACCAATTGGCGGAAGTAAGTATAGTCAAGTCGTCTATAATTTCAAGGTTTTAAGGTAGTAAAACGTTATATTTAAAAGCATTTTGAAGCGAATAATTTGAAAATGAATAAGGGATCATCATTTGACAATGCCACAAAAGTATGTGAAAGCTAAGAATTGATAGGCAAAACGTTGTCTTTAAATCTTGCCCACGAACTGTAACGGACACACTAACACACACACATACGCACAGTCGAGGTTTCAATTTCAATTCTTTATTCGCTCAAAACCAGATCACTGGTACAAGAGGTACATATATACATATATACAAACAAAAAATGACAGTCAATGGTCATGGTGCTATACCCCTTCCCCAACTAGTTGCGCGATGTAATAACAAGGTATCTGAAGCTTTATGTCGCAATACAGAGAATGGGTATAAAACAGGTCATAGAGTGATGGAAATACTATTTTTTCGGAATTCATCTCAGCTTTAACCACATACAATTAAACCTGAAAATGTTTCCATGTAAATGTGAGTTCTGATTCAGAACTTTGTTATTTACATAAGTTTTTTTTTTTACTTCCTCATATTCCTATGTATATTTCTATGCAAACATTTGATCGGTCATCATAGCTCATGTCTAACCCCTCAATTTGAAATCTTCAATACTGGAGGATGCTTCAACATAAAATTCATATTCTTTAGCACACGAGAGGTTCTTGTTTTTTTAAAGATCTAATTATTTTACTAATTCGTATTATTTTTGTGCATTGAAAATAGTGTGCCCTTTCTAGTGAACAAATTAGTATTCACTTACCAGAAAATGCACGAGCCTGTACTTTGTAACAAGTTTGATTGAATTTGACCCAGTGGTTCTAGAGAACATGAGGTTGTATTAAAGTATACTACGACATTGACAACAATAATGACACTATCAAGCAAAGAACTAAAAGAACACATTTTGATTTAAAAAAAACCACTTGAGTCAGTTCAAACTTAAATGAGGGATCAACAGATGTTCTTAATTTGAGGTGAAGTACTTCTAACGGAATTTTTCATTTCAGTCACACTGGCAACAAATTCATCAATTTTTTGTTATAAGCAGAAAAAAATCTACCACTATTACAAGGCAATGTTATTCTAATCTTATTGATATGAAATTATATCCAGAGTATTTCGTTCCGAATCCGAATATCCGAATGGAGGTGCAATGCCCAAAATATCCTTTTTCTGAGATACAGCAGGGTAAACATGACTCACTGACCATTGTAGACCATTTACATATTTTGATTATTTTCTTTTTATAATTGTGTAAAGCTTTATATGACCCTTTATCATACTTTTCCGATATCGTCTCGAGAAGTGCTAACATTTGTCTTTTTTCTTCTAATCATTAGTAAACATACCTGAAGAAGTGTTAAAATGGGAGTTTGAAGAAAGAAAACGGTTTGTACGCAGCATGAACAAAGACAGTGTCCCTATGTTTCGTGCGAGATGTCTCCTAGTGGGCTGTACAGGGGCAGGGAAGACAACTGTACTACGTAATCTGAAGAGAAAGAAAGGGAAGGAAGAAACCGAACAACCAACAGAGACAACTATAGGGTTGGACGTTCACCAGGATCTGTTTCTTATTAGACAATCTGAGGATGACAGTGGCAGCACTCTAATAGGTTTGTGGTTTAAGTTCATAGACATGTTATATGTATGTAAACAAAAGATTTTTAGGGAGTGAAAGACAAAGAAAAAGAGGAGACATATAAATCAATAAAAGGCAAAATCAGTAATGTTTAGCGAAAGCCATGCAATCATGTTTGTCGAAAACATTTCTTTGAATTTTTTATTTGCTTATTTTCATACAATATCAGTATATAAGAATCGCAGTGTCTCTCCAGGGTCAGTAAATTAATGTAGACATGTTAAAAGCTCCATTTCTTTTCTTTTTTTTTTTTGGTTTTTGGGAAAGAAACACGGAGTATAAGCCGGACAATATACAATCACAAACGACTGATTTGATAATGCAGTTTGTAAAAATTATGCATTTTGATATTTTGTTAAAGTGCGTTAAATTGGGAACAAATGCACTTTGAAATAAAGTAATTCTAGTAATTCTCCGGTTCAGTTGGTATTTTTGGATTAAAGTGGGAAAGGCCCAAAAGGGGGGAGGGTCAGACTAAATTGTGAAAAATCCATAAATTATCTCATTTTATTTCTATCCCTGGTCATGAAGCAAAGGAACATATGTATAGTTATAATGAGCAAGTATGCTTTCTCAAGAATCGTGGGTTTCATGTCCACAGGGACATGGGTTCTAGTATAAAATTTGAGGCTTTATACGAGATTGTATCGGGAAAGTAAGGTGTACATTATTTCTAGAAAATTATCCTGTCTGCTCCTCGGTATTGGACATGTCAACAAAGTGCATAAATATAATGAACAAGCTTAAAGAATACTTTTTTTTTAAATGTTAAATCTCCAAAAACGAAAAAGAATTTCAAACATTAGGTGATATAATTATAGAAAGCAATGATGAAGCATAAATAATTTAATTTCACTTGTATCAAGCAATTTCATTGGTTGAATCATTCAGAGGAACATATAATATATTGTATAACATAACTTGCCTACGTCACAATGAGTTACGTCAAAAACGTATTACTCCGCTTGACGTTACTTTTGAAATATTGCTCAATTTGAAGCCTTTTTCCGGAGGAAATATTGTCTCATTGTTTACACTAAAATTAAATTATAAGGAATGAAGCTAATTTCAACTTATGTTATCCGATATAACAAAACTTATGGCAGTTTACGCTTTCTTATAAACCGCTTCGCGGTTTATAAAGCGTAAACTGCCCCAAGTTATGTTATATCGGATAGCATCAGTTGAAATAAGCTTCATTCCTTAAATAATTTAATTTCAGTTGTAACACGTCATTTGATTGGTTAAACGGTTTTATCCATTTTGCATAACATAACTTGCCTACGTTACAATGAGTGACGTCAAAAATGTATTACTCCGCTTGACGTTAACGTTTAAAATATGCTATATTTAAAGCCTGTTTCCGAAAGAAAATATTGAAAAATTGTACCATTGTCTACATTGAAATTAAATTATGAGGAATGAAGCTCATTTCAACTCATGTTATACGATATAACATAACTTGGGGCAGTTTACGCTTTTTTATAAACCGCTCCGCTCCGCTTCGTATAACATAAGTTGAAATAAACTTCATTCCTTAAATAACATCGTTAACATCACTGTCATCAATATTTATGTCAAAAGGCCATGGCCCTATTAGAAGAATTCATCATAAAACTGGTTCGGTCTTTATAGATTTCTATAATGATGGATATAAAGAAAATACATAGAAAGTAATAAATCACACAATACTCATACAAAACAGAATAGCGAAATCCATTGGTCCATGCGCATGATAGGTCACTGGTCAATCATACGTTTAGGAATGCTTAAGATACAAATTTACCTGTACAAATTAGCAAATCACTTACACATAGCTCTTATATACATGTACGTGTTCCTGCAAAACCGGTTGTATTCGATTGGCTAATCATGCCAATCAGAATGTAGTACTTGATATTGAGCAAAACATAATTATGATAACTGATAATTTTAATAAATTTGCGACATTTGTGTACATCAAAGTGTTTGGGTTTTTTTTTTCCTCTTTAGACTATGAAAGGCATACAGCTCCACTTGCAGAAAACTACGAAAAACGCTTACTAAGTGTGATGGACTTTGCAGGACAGGTAGCTTATTATGCTTGTCACCAAGTCTACTTATCACATAGAGCAATTTATCTATTGGTTGTAGACATGACCCAGGATTTAAACACAAAACTACAACAAGATGACAGAAATTGTGTCCAGGGAACTCTGTTTGAAGACTGGACTGCACTAGGTGACTAGTATCTCGGAATTAAGGGTCGTTAATTTTCATTTAATTTGCTTTATTGGAATTAATATTGAATCAGTCAAAATGTTTTATTATACAGTGTATTTTCAGTATTTTTTTTTTTCTCTATAGAATATTTAAAAACATGTTTTTATGTTTTAGATTATTTCACCTTCTGGCTGCAGACTATAAGAACATATGGCGAGAATGATGATGACAAAGGTTATAAAATAAAACCTCATATTACAGGAAGCAGTGAACATGGGAACAAAATGACACCTATCATTGTACTTGCAACACACGGAGATTCTTACAGAAATTCAAAGGTATACTTATATGTCAAAGAAATGATAATTCTACCTGTTGAATAAGAAAAATATACTGTACATCACTTTATTTTTACGAAACCTTATTTTCGCGAGCTAATCATTGGTTCTTAATTAGTGAGAAAAAAATGTTCATGACTTGTGGTTATTGCTCTAAATATTTTCACGAGCACACTGTTTCGCGATTTTTTTTCTAAAATAAAGTTCTCGCGAATAAAAGTGATTTAAAGTAACTAATAAATACTGAGTGTAAATAACAATGAAAACGTACACTTTGCTGGTTATATCAGGGGATTTAAGTGGTATTAGAAACCGATTTCTAAAATTGGCAAACATTTTTTTAAATACACGTAATTATATATAGTATTAAACTCGATGATTTTATAAGCCGTTATACATGCATTTTAACTTTATTGATTATAAGGCTTTTTTTCTGTTATATTCTGTTATCTATTGGAAATTATATAATTTTCAAATCATTTGTCACGAAGTATATTCACAGGTTTCCAGACTTTACAATAACCGAGATTATCTAAATATATTACTTTTTAGGTATTTATTTGTATAGACAGCTAAAATTTTATGGTGTTTGTTTCCATTTCGAATCAAGTGATCATTTTCGATACCTTGTTACGTGTACCTATAACTCCTTTCCTGTTATAAACCTAAATAAGGTTCATCCTAAAGTTAAATAAGTTATTGTTATTTTTGCTATATATTTTGTATATACGTCATATACATAAAGATTCTGTCTGTACAGTTTTGTTGATGTAATTGATGTAAGTCTTTATTTCTTTTTTCATTTCAAGAGAAAAAAATCGTTTGGCATGTTTCTCTTGAAAACTCTTTTTTTGAGCTAATTCGATTAAAGCATTATAGTACATAACACGCAAAACACATCACAATAATAAAACCACAAAATCAATAAATTATTATGTAATTTGACAAATGAAAAAAAAAATCAGAAAATAATATATTAAAAACTTTCGAAAGTTGTCTATAGCATATGTTGATAAGACTTCGTTTACATCAAGACGTCGTACAGTAATTTACGTCTTTTGCTGATCGATGATCATGTAAAATTACGAAATTGACGAGAAATCAGTGTATTTTTTATGCATCTGTAAGGTGCCAAGGAGGCGTAAGGATCCTTTTTTATCTGTAACATTAAATGTTTTGTTCGGATGGATAGATTTCCCTTTGTCAAATCAACATAAAAAGAAGGACCTAATATATAGCGTAAACCTAATCAGCTAAACTATGACTCGATGGCAGGCAGCTTATATTTACCAGCATTGTAACGACAATAGAATTTTCTAAATCCCTACTTTAAACGAGGCTGTTGAGATCCCTGTATATCTTTGTACTGTAAGTCCTCTACATACATATTACATACTGACGACATTTTCGCGGTTTGAAGTCATGAATACAATGTATATAAAGCAAATAATTTTTACTTAACCTTTGCAGAATGTCATAAAGGTCTTCCGTCTTTACGGAAGACCTTATAGTGATTCTACTGTTTTTTATTATTAAGGTCTTCCGTCTCCAACGGAAGACCTTATAGTGATTGTACTGTTTCTTATTAAGGTCTTCCGTCTCCAACGGAAGACCTTATAGTGATTGTACTGTTTCTTATTAAGGTCTTCCGTCTTCACGGAAGACCTTCTAGTGATTCTACTGTTTCTTCTTCTTATTATTATTATTTTTTTCCCCAAAATTTTGTGCACGCGATTTCTCGAAAACTATTCAGTGGTTTTCTGTGAAATTTTTAGGAATTATGCGTCATTATATGAAGTTGTGGCATGGATAGGAAAATTTGGAATACTCACCTTTGGTTCCAAGTTATTGATTTTTTTTTGATTTTAAAATGGATTTTTGTCCCCCCTTTTTTTCGAAAATGGTTTCAGATATTAACTGGAGACTTGTTAGAGATGATAGTTGATGACTTTAAGATGTGAGGAATCACCCTTTCGTGTGTCGTCGGTACTTCCGGTTGCTACCGGAAGCGAAATTAAAAAGTCCGTATTTTCAAACTTTTTTGTTTTTCAATATTTTTCATTTATTTTTAGAACGTTAATAGAGATCCTTCTTATAATGCTTACTATATAATTTGTTTGAATATTGATGAATCTAAACTCTAGAAATTAACAATCAAAAATCTGAAGCGGGTCAAAAATGGCGGCTGTCTCTGTCAACTCCGACATTTCGCAATAGGGGTTTACGGAGGCAGCCGAGCGTTTTATTGAATAAAAGTAAAATAAGGATAAAAGAAGTGTAAAGGAATACTAGGATTGTCACGACGTTGTTACGTTGCAGTTCTGTGTCAAACTGTGTTTTAATCCATGGTCGTCTCAAACGTCTTCTATAATTGGTTTTGGCTGGTTCTCAAAGTAGAAAAAGAAAGGACTAAATGTGCAAATGAAATACGATACCTAGTATCTTTTGCTTTTTGTGGAAAAACAGATTTTAAACCATAGTTATAAGTAATAGTTTTTAAGAAACAATATCAATGTATATAGTAAGTATTAAACGTAACTACTGTTTTCCTTATGCACACTTGAATTAAACAAAAAGAAAAGACAAAAATAAGAAAACCATATTTTAAAAAATAATTTAATTGCGTTTATATTATCATTCTTGTCTCAATCATCTCATTCAAGTTATTAAACATAAATGGTGTCGCGAAGATTCACTCTTGACCGTCGTAGGGCGACATATTTTACACCGAAGCATTTCAAGCTGTTCATGAAAGTTAAACTAATCTTGATAATTCATTATAGGGATAAACAGCATAATAAAAATAAGTTGAAAATTTTAGCAGTTTCACTGATTAAGTGCTAGTTATCTATATACGATATGGAATGTGTAAATGCATTAATTATACTTTCTTAACATTGAAATTTAAGCTATACGAACATTTTTTTTTAATTTCCATTGAAACTATCACACCTATTTAATGGAACATTCCAAAGAAAAAGGCGCGAAGATTCACTCGTGGCGTTTGGCGCTAAATTTTGAATAGTAACCCGCCTTTCATTATTCTAAGACAGATACACTGTTTCAGAAGTATATACAAGTAGATTTAGAGCTGTGGTCCCAATAACGTAATAGTAAGCGCTTTGGATTTTCATGCTGGCTCCCTTTGTTTCCATAAAAAGTTTTATCACTTTTTCAGCTCAATTTTGCGGGTTTTTTTTCAGATTCGGACAGAAGACCTCTCGTTGCTCGCAACGAGTTTCTTTTCTAGTTATTCTTATTCTTTTTTTTGACAAAATTTTGTGCACGCGATTTCTCGAAAACTATTCAGCAGATATTCATGAAACTTTCACAAAATATGTGTCATTACATGAAGTTGTTACATCCGAAGAAAAATTTAGAAAATATGCTTCTGGTGCCAAGTTATGGACAATTTCCTGATTTTAAAATGCGATTTTGTCGCCCCTTTTTGTCGAAAATGGCTAAGTATATGACCTGGAGACTTATTGGAGATGATAGATCATGGCTTTCTTGTTTGCAGAATCAACTTTTCGTGAGTCGTCAATACTTCCGGTTGTTACGAGATGCAAATTTAAAAAAAATCGTATTTTCTAACTTTTTTGTTTTTCACTACTTTTCATTTATTTCTAGTACGTTAATAGAAATCCGCCTCAAAATGCTTACTCTATAATTTGTTTGAATGTTGATAAATCTAAACTCTAGATATTAGCATTTGAAAATCTGAAGCGGGTCCAAAATGGCGGCTGTCTCTGTCAACGCCGATATTTCGCAATAGGGGCTTATGGAGTCAGCCCAGCGTTTTCTTGAACGAAAGTAACATAAGAATAAATGAAATGTAAAGATATACTTGGATTGTCACGTCGTAGTTTCGTTGCAGTTCAGTGTCAAACTTACGTCTTCTGTAATTGATTTTGGCTGGTTTTCAAAGTAGAAAAACAAAAGACTAAATGTGCAGATGAAATTCGATACCTAATATCTTTTGTACATCACGGAAAAAAATAGATCTTGAATTATTCTTAAAAGTAATACTTTCTTAAAAAAGAATATCAATTAATATATTCAGTATATATCTTAACCACTGTTTTTCCTATACAACGTGTGTCTTATTAAACTAATAAATAATACAGAAATAAGAAAACGATTTTTTTAAAAGATCACTTCATGGAGTTTATTTAAGCATTCTTGTCTCGAAGACCTGATTCAAGTTATTGAGCATGAATGATATCTGATTCCTTGACCGTCGTAGGGCGAACCATGTTTTTCGGCGAAACGTTTCAACCTTTTTCGATTAACTAATCGGGATAGTTCACTTTGGGGATAAACAGGAAATTGAAAAAAAATACATTGCCGTTTCACCGCTTTAGTGTTACATGCATATCTACAATATGGAATTTGTAAAATGTGTTAAATATACTTTCTAAACCTCGAATCTTAGGCTATAAGAACGTTCTTTTTTTGAATTTCATTGAAGCCATCACACTTAATTAATAGAACATTAAAAAGAAAATCACAAAGATTAACTCGTGGCGTTTGGCGCTAAATTTTAAATAGTGACCCGCCTTTCATAATTTTAAGAGAGAAGCACTGTTTCGTTAATTTATACAAGTAGATTTAGAGTAGAGGTTCCGATAGTGTAATATTTAGTGCGTTGGAATTTCATGCTGGCGACTTGGGTTCAATTTTCCTTGTGAGCAAATCTTTTTTTTACTTTTCAGCTCGATTTTACGTTTTCTTTCAGGAATCGGACGGAAGACCTCTCGTTGCTCGCAACGAGTTTCATATCTAGTTATTCTTTTTATTCTTTTTTTTGACAAAATTTTGTGCAGGCGATTTCTCGAAAACTACTCAGCGGTTGTTCATGAAATTTTCAAAAAATATGTGTCATTATATGAAGTTGTTACATCCGAAGAGAAATTTGGAAAATTTGATACTGGTGCCAAGTTATGGACAATTTCCTGATTTTAAAATGCGATTTTGTCGCCCCTTTTTGTCAAAAATGGCTAAGTATATGATATGGAGACTTATTGGAGATGATAGATCATGACTTTGTGGTTTGCAGAATCACCTTTTCGTGCGTCGTCAGTACTTCCGGTCGTTACGAGATGCAAATTTAAAATAATCGTATTTTCTAACTTTTTTGTTTTTCAGTATTTTTCATTTATTTTCGGTTTGATTATTGAAACCCTTCTAATAATGCTTACTATATAATTTGTTTGAATGGTGATAAATCTAATTTCTAGATATTAGCATTCAAAAATCTGAAGCGGGTCCAAAATGGCGGCTGTCTCTGTCAACGCCGACATTTCGCAATAGGTGTTTACGGAGGCACCCTAGCGTTTGTTTGAACGAAAGTAACATAAGAATAAATGAAAGGCAAAGGAATACTTGGATTGTCACGTCGTATTTACATTGCAGTTCTGTGTCAAACTAATGTCTTTTATAATTGGTTTTGGCTGGTTTTCAAAGTAGAAGAAGAAAACACTAAATGTGCAAATGAAATTCGATACCTAATATCTCTTGTGCATCGCCGAAAAACAGATCTTAAATCATACTTATAAGTAATGCTTTCTCAAAAAAGAATATCAATTAATTTTTTCAGTATAAATATTAACCACTGTTTTTCCTATGCACACTTGTGTCATATTAAACTAATAAATTAGACAAAAATAAGAAAACGTTTTTTTTAAAGATCGCTTCATGGAGTTTATTTTAGCATTCTTGTCTCAAAGACCTGATTCAAGTTATTGAGCATAAACGATATCGGATTCCTGACAGTCGTAGGGCGAGCCATGTTTTCTGGCGAAACTTTTCAACCTTTTCGATTAACTGTTTGGGATTGTTCACTTTGAGGATAAACAGGAAATTGAAAAAAAAAATTCATAACCGTTTCACCGCTTTAGTGTTACATGCATATTACAATATGGAATTTGTAAAATGTGTTAAACATACTTTCTAAACTTCGAATCTTAGGCTATAAGAACGTTCTTTTCTTTTAATTTCATTAAAGCTATCACTCTTATTTAATAGAACAATCCAAAGAAAAGGGGAGAAGATTAACTCATGGCGTTTGGCACTAAAATTTGAATAGTGACCCGTCTTTCATAATTTTAAGAGAGAAGCACTGTATCATTGATATATACAAGTAGATTTAGAGTAGAGGTCCCGATAGCGTAATATTTAGTGCGTTGGAATTTCATGTGGCGACTTTGGTTCAATCCCCCTTGTGTAAAAATCTTTTTTTTTTACTTTTCAAATCGATTTTACGTTTTCTTTCAGGAATCGGACGGAAGACCTCTCGTTGCTCGCAACGAGCTTCATATCTAGTTATTATTATTTTTTTTCCCAAAATTTTGTGTACGCGATTTCTCAGCAATTATTCGGCGGATTTCTATGAAATTTTCAGGAATTATGCGCAATAGGATGAACTTGATACATTTTTAAGGAAATTTGGAAATTTGCTTCTGGTGCCATGTTATGGGCAATTTCCTGATTTAAAAATGCAATTTTGTCGCCCCTTTTTTCGAAAATGGCTAAAGATATGACCTGGAGACTTATTGGAGATGATAGTTCGTGACTTTGTGGTTTGCAGAATCACCTTTTTGTGCGTCGTCAGTTCTTCCGGTTGTTATGAGATGCAAATTAAAAAAAATCGTATTTTCTAACTTTTTTGTTTTTCAGTATTTTTCATTTATTTTTGGTTTTTTAATAGAAACCCTTCTGATAATGCTTACTATATAATTTGTTTGAATGTTGATCAATCTAAACTCTAGATATTAGCATTCAAAAATCTGAAGCGGGTCCAAAATGGCGGCTGTCTCTGTCAACGCCAACATTTCGCAATAGGGATTTACGGAGGCAGTCGAGCGTTTGCTTGAATGAAAGTAACATAAGGATAAATGAAATGTATAGGAATACTCGGATAGTCACGTCGTAGTTACGTTGCAGTTCTGTGTCAAACTAACGTCTTCTGTAATTGGTTTTGGCTAGTTCCCAAAGTTGAAAAAGAAAAGACTAAATGTGCAAATGAAATTCGATTCCTAATATCTTTTGTGCACCACGGAAAATAGATCTCATCATATTTATAAGTAATACTTTCTCAAAAAAGAATATTGATTAATATTGTCAGTAGAAATCTTAACCACTGATTTTCCTATGCACACTTGTGTCATATTAAACTAACAAATAAGACAAAAATAAGAAGACCTGTCTCAAAGACCTGATTCAAGTTATTGAACATAAATTATATCTGATTCCTTGACCGTCGTAGGGCGAGCCATGTTTTTTGGCGAAATGTTTCAACCTTTTTCAATTAACTAATCGGGATAGTTCACTTTGGGGATAAACAGGAAATTGAAAAAAGTTAGAAATTCATAACCGTTTCACCGCTTTAGTGTTACAGGCATATTTACCATATGGAATTTGTAAAATGTGTTAAATATACTTTCTAAACCTCGAATCTTAGGCTATAAGAACGTTCTTTTTTTAATTTCATTAAAGCTATCACATCTATTTACTAGAACATTCAAAAGAAAAGGCGCGAAGATTAACTGGTGGCGTTTGGTGATAAATTTTGAATAGTGACCCGCCTTTCATAATTTTAAAAGAGAATCACTGTTTCGTAAATATATATAAATAGATTTAGAGAAGAGGTCCCGATAATGTAATATTTAGTGCCGTCGGAATTTCATGCTGGCGACATGGGATCAATTCTCCTTGTGTGCAATATTTTTTTTTACTTTTTCAGCTCGATTTTACGCTTTCTTTCCGGAATCGGACGGAAGACCTCTCGTTGCTCGCAACGAGTTTTCATCTAGTTATATTTCAATTTGTATTGCGGTTATGTAAATAAGGCGAAAATTGGCTATTTTTTTTATTCTCCCCACCCCCTTGATAGTCTAGACTTACAGATGTCTGCCATGAAGTAATGACCTCTCAATATTAGTGATATTTCCAGAGGGGGGTGTTTACCAAGAAACACACGAACAAAACCTATTGTGGATTTCAATTTGCCCAAATATTACAAATTAGTTCAACATTCAACTCTTTGGTACGCATGTATAATTTACACAATTAAAAAGACATTACAAATTAAACAAAAATTCGTAGAATTTTAATCATCTTGAACTTTTAGTTGTGACGTAGAAGAGGGAAGAGAGCGGTTTATTAATTGATGCTCATATCTGTGAACCTTATGAAAGGTTATGACAAAACATTTCTATATCTACAATCTCCATGACTAGTTGTTCTATTTATTATAGGCCAGTGAAGAGGATACCTCTAAATACGGAAGCTTTTTTGTCAAACTACGCAAACATATTCCTGAAAATATTAAAAATCTTGTCTGTAAGCACTTTGAATTGGAACTTCCTCCACGAGAAAGGTCACAAGATGAGCTTCGAGAACTGGAAAAAGTTAGACGTTACATAGCAAAAACTGCAGAATCCCTTCCGCATTGGGGAGAAAAAGTACCTAAGCATTGGTCTGAATTCGAACGAATTGTTCAAGAAAGACAAGGATCGAAAATAGCATCTAGAGAGCAGTTACAGGAATTATCAGAATACTTAACGGAGAATGACTTTGATGATATCTTGAAATTTTATCACGAGATTGGAATGATTTTGTATTTCAAGGATTTAGGGAATGACGTTATTCTGGACATTCAGTGGTTTGTTGATGCATTTAAAAACATTATAACTGATCGGAAACATGTACCGGTAAAAATGGCTTCTCATGATGATTGGGATCAATATTTTGATGATGGTATGATAACAGAATCTTTGATGCTCAAGATTTGGAAGGAGATTGGAAAGGATTCTTCCTATGCCAGATACCTGAATAGGATAACACCTTTTATGGAGAAACTTGGAATCCTTGCAAAAATGGGTAAAAAAGACAGGAGAGAAAGTCAATGCTACTATATCCCGAGCATGAACAAAAGGCAATTGAAGAAAGGGGAACAATGGACAAGATGGAAGAAGACACCAATACTCTCATTTTACTTCAAAACATATTTACCCCACTTCTTTTTCTTTCGCCTTGTTGTTGCTTGCTTTGCCCTTTTGGATTCCCAAACAAAAGAGCTTTACAAAAATATAGCATTATTCTGTGGAACTGAAAAAGATGAGTATCACACCGTTGCTATTGCAGTCAACAAAACATCAATTCAATTGCAGGTGCTCACTCCTACAGGAAATGACATACCACTCCGAACGGAAAGAACACGAGCTATCCGCACAAAAATAGAAAAGAAAATAGAGGAACTGACAAAAACATTTCATGGACATGTAGATTACGAGATAGGCTTCCCTTGTTCATGTGAAACTACTCTCATTACAGAAGAAGACGAAAAGCGTTTTATTTCTGAAAAAGAACTTCTGAAAATTTCTGTAGAGAACCCACCATGCCCTAAGTGCAAAGTTCATTCCGACAAAAGAATAAACAAAAAGGAACTTTTGCAGATATGGGGGGAGAGTAAGTCGATTGATATAATTTCTCAGAATTAGTTTACAATTTGCTCATTAATTTAAAAAAAAATGAATTATATACACTTTTTCAAATAGATCTCTAAAAAACCCTTACCCTCTAAAAATGTACATGTATTACACTGCAGTATGAAATTTAATTTCGTATTTTTTTTAGCAACAGCAGATAAAAGAGATTTTATCGAACTTCCATTTCTTCATTTTTAATTGTTTTTATGTTTTACTATAGAACCTTTTGGACAAAAATTTGTGTTGCCTTCTTTATAATGTATACCAAATTTATAACCTTGCGGCAAAATTCTGGGAAATCCTCTCACTATACCTGGTAAAGTTATTCAAACAATTTAAATATAAATCTATGAGAAATGTTGCTGATATCTGAAAAAAAAGTATCCGGTTGTTACTTATTCTTGTTTTTTACCATAGGTTAACTCTTGTGAGCTATGTGAACCTATATATACGTTATTCAGTCACATAACCCTTGTACTTAAAAAGACAACGTGATTTGAGAGGGATGGTGGTTTTGGCCAGTTTTAGACTTGATTGATCTCCTTAAGAAGATTTCCATATTAATATATACAAAAATGCTAAATTTTAAAACTAAAATGTATGAAAGTTTTTATATAATGATAGTTGAAAGCTTAAGATATGTCTAAAAAATAAGTTATATCTGATAGTTAATTTGCAGACCCCCATCCTCTTTACGTTTTTGATTATTACCAGGGGGTATATCCGATGCTTGAACCATTTGTGCACGGTACATTATTGACACTTAGATATCTTTCCGTGTTTTTTTTTTATAACTTTAGCGCTTATTTATGATTTGGTTAACATAAATTTTAGGTGATCTAGCTAAATTTAAATATTTTTTGAAGAGTGTGTTATCAATTCATATGTATCCTTTTTTTAAGTTCAGATGAGCTGTAGGACCATGCAATGTTCTATCTTTAGAATAAATCTGTAGCACTCGGTAACATGTAAAGCATTAGACATGGGGACCGGACTTTCGGATGCTGAAGTTCACAACGTTGATGAAAATGTTGAATTGTTAACTGCAGATAGGAATAAACGTTGTATATAATTGTATCTTTAATATTTAATATTTCAGTTCAAGGGTTTACCTTGTATTACATATAAGATCATAAGATTGTAAGATCAATTTCAATATAGCTATTAACATTCTATAAAGCATAAATATTGAATATTTTAATATTTTAAAGGAATATATAGTTGCTTATTGCGAAAACACTGGCTTTTTTATACGGAAGAACAACATTTATGATCACTAAAAACAGACTACAATTAAATTTTGAACTGTTTAATTGTTTAAGAAATAAAGTCTGCGTTTTCGTGAATATTGCAGAATAACCTCCGGGGTCGAGAAATGTTGTTTGAAAGATAAATATCTCAAACATTTCGAGACCGAGGAGGTTATCCTGCATCATTCACGACTACACGGACTTTATTTTTATTCTGCTATATGTACTAGCAGCCCTGAAACGAATTAGGTTACCATGCTGCGTTAATGATGTTCCATTTAACACCAGAGTGTAAATTTGTTTGCTTAACTGTAAATAGAGTGCAGACAATTTGAGCTTTCGCTGCATTAAAATTTGCTTTTTATTGTTTGTGGCTAAAAAATTAATCTTTTTGAATATACAATAACAATATCAGTTTCCTATTTTACCACTTTATTACCAAGATCACGGGGTTTAAATATGGCGGAGGGAGGTTCGGGAAACAGCCCCGCTTGGCTTTAGAAACCTACATTCATCAGCTACTTTTTGCAATATACATCATATGTGATTCTTAAGTCAAATGTACATTTCAACTGCACAGGTTTCATACATGTTTCTGATCGGATACTTTTTTGATGACGATCGTGATTTATTGGAGAATATTGTCCGTGGCTTTTCTTTAAAGTAGCCCATAATTGTAGTAAAATTGAGAAAAATACTTATATAACAAAAAAATGGAATATATTTCATTTAGCAATACATTTTCCAAACTCTATCTCTTGTTTTTCAATGTCGTGGACGTTTTTGACACACCGATAAGACGTAAAAAATCCTATAAGAAGAAAATCACAATGTAGAGAAATACACACGTGTGGGTCATAGTTGTTTATTTTTGTATTTCCATTACGCTATACTGGATATAATTTGGTATTAATACACACTATGTTTAATATACTTTAGTCATTTGTTTTTCAGGAATCAAGAAGAATTTGCTCATAGTATTAATATAATTTTATGTTTATCCAACAGAAAGTTTATTATTCTTATAATTACAAACTCTTCATATGTATATAGTTAATTCATTAACAACTTCGAAAATATTTAGGCATATATATTGTTTATGAATTAAAAAAATAAACTTTTTAAAAATGCTCCAATACCCTTATTATTACTAACTTTTATCTATATTGAATTATTTACTTTGAAAAAAATGATACCTAAAAAGAAAAATTGTTTATCCATTCCGAGTTACAATTAATTACTGGTATTTGAATTACATGCAAGTAAAGTCAGAAATTATCACATTACTCTCAGTTTATACACAAGGGTGTGTATTGCATATTATTAAATGATGAGGAATTTTGGTGCTCTCTGATTGGTCTAGACGCCATTTACTGGTGTGTACCTCAGAGTGAGTTCACCTCATATGACATTCTGGGGGGTTTATTCGGGTTTTCCCTCTCGACCAACCATAGATTTGCTTACAGCTTTTTCGACCAATCAGATTGCGTGTTTCTAAGCCTGTGTCGGTGTGAATGTAAACATGTCAAACGCCATTACCAAGGAGATTATGAACTTTTGAAAGTAAATGGTTGAGTATTCATTGTTTATTAATATTGTTTTTAACTTTTTAACTAATATTTGTTTAGCTGTTGAAGTATATCAACATGTAATAAGTGTAATTACACTGTACATTATGGATGTTTATATTTGATGGAGACAAGAATGAAAGAGTCAGCAGTGTTATAAAATTCCTCATCATTTAATAAAACGGTTATTGACTTTTGAATTCGGTCTACTCGTGACTATACAGACCTGGTCAGGTATTGGTTAACCTCGGCCTTCGGCCTCGGTCAACCAATACCTGACCAGGTCTGTATAGTCACGAGTAGACCTCATCAAAAGTCAATAATTGTATATTGTCATAAGCATGGAGATATATATTAAATATTACATATGCACCATATATCTTTTATTTCATTTATATGTGCATTTAAAAATTAAGAAAATGTTTTTCTCAGCAAAAACTGTTGATTTACTATGTACAATTAAAAAGTACAATGATTTTTCATTGCCTCTATTCCGCAAGAATTTATCTTGTTCATTAAATTCATTAATTCGGCCGATTCATATGGAGACACATGACTTAACTTTATACAGTCTCATGACTTCCATATAAAGGACACGTCCCATTTTGGGATTCGATCATCTGCGATGTAATAAATAGCTCCTTAGTGAACGATTATAGAGCAGCCGCTCTAGCCCCTACGCTATATAGGCGACCCTAATTATTTTGTTAAATTTAATGCCCCCTCCCCCATAAAATATTTCAAACAAACAAACAGCAAGAACTAATTGTGATGCTACCTTCTGCAGAACTTCACTAATCTACTGTAAGAAAAAATAAAATACTTTTATTTGTCTGTTGTTTAAAACCCTTGTCTAGACGCTGGAGGGTTACAAATTTCCAACTTTACTAACTTACTTATTTACTTAGGCCTGTCTTTCCGTGAGGAACATTGTCCATTAACAACAGTTCTCCAACGAACACGATTTTGAATATCAAGTCATCGATTTCAAATAAATCATTGTGGTCAGCAGCTTTTATATAAACATTTTAATTCACCTGATCATTCTATTTTATCAATGAAAGTTAGAATTCTCGAAAAGATTTATCACCACACAAATAGTCCGTCGTTGAGTACACCTTTCCGTAGACAACGAGAAGAATTTTGGATTAGGAAACTAGGGACAGCCTTTCCCTATGGATGTAATGACAATGTCGATAGTGTTGGAAATCTCTCAAGCCCGCAGTGTAATAATGTAAATGTGATCGGACTTTTTAACAATACTCAGAGACGTAAGCGTAGTCATGGACATCGTTCGTACAATAAACCTGCAATACAAGACGTCTCTTTTGATTCATTACTACCTTATGTAAATCAACAGTTAGGTCTACATCATATTCGAACAAAACTTTACTCTGTCCCTTTGAAACTTTAAAATAGTCTTCTTGAAAAGGCCAAGGAACATCCAATTTTAGATTCCTCGTCACCTGAATATAGGCTCGGATCTGTGTTTATGGATATTGCATATCATAGGCTTTTTAAACCCGCACGTTTCACGGACAAAAATGCAGCTAAAACACTCCGTCTTTTCCTTAAACTTCAATATGCCAATAAAGGAATTGACGCGGTTAATATAAGTAATATTCTTAATCACAAAAGGGTCCAGTCTTGTATTCCACCATATTTCAAGTTAAAGACTACACCATTTATTTCCTACAAATATACATCGACCATTGCTTCCAAACTTTTCAATTACAAAAACACTTTACATGGCCTGGATATCGACCATCTGAAAAATAATCCCCCTTCGTGTTCATGTTCTTCTTCGCCGTATAACTATAGTCTTGCTGGACACGTTATTACAGGTGACGTTAATATAGTTCGTATGAGGACCTTAGATCACTTATTTTGAAAGGTCCTAAATATAGGGAACCCCGATCCTTCAACTGGCGTCGGAATTTCATGAATATTATGGATTCTGTTGAAAATTACGCCAGACGATGGGCCAAATATGAAAAAGAAGACATTGACACCTTGTCAGAATGGATTAAATGTATCAGATCCATGTTAAAGTCACGTATCAAAAGATTGAGGGGCAAAATGAAAACCATCTATCCTTCTGTGTTCAATAAACCAGAAGTGAAAAAAAAATTGGATAGATTACACGATCAGTACGTACTGGTTCCTGCAGATAAAGCAGGTAACAACATTGTCTTCGTTTGTAAGGCTAATTATATAAATTGCATTCTAGAAGAACTTGGATTTAATTCTACAAGTGGTAATCCTACTTATACTCATACTTCTCTTTCTAAGGAAGAAATTCTTTAAAATCACCTGTCAGTTTTGAATACTTTTAATATTCCACAGAGCCAAAATGAATTTGAACTACCTTATATATATTGGATTCCGAAACTTCATAAGAATCCTTACAAACAAAGATACATTGCAGGTTCCAGTAAATGTTCAACCAAGCCTCTTTCGTTACTTCTCACGAAAAAATTGACAGTAGTGAAAAGAAAAAGTTCAAGAGTACTGTGCAACTATATACTCAAGAAGTGGTGTAAATCAGATGTGGATACTTAAAAATTCTAAAGAACTTTTGGACAATTTGAAATCACAAAACTTCACAAAATTCAACAGCTTAAAATCTTACGACTTTTCAACTTTATACACAACGATTCCCCCAAATTAAAATCCAGGCTTTTTGATATCATTGACAGCAGCTTCTTCAAGAAGCTCTTTTCAAGGCTGCTCTAGATGCAACATGTCTGGTCATATCTTTTGTCTTTAGCTCTGACACTGAGTCACACCTTCAGGAGTTTCTAGGACGTCCTCCTCTTCTTTTACCCTCTGGGTTCCAAGTCAGGGCCTGGCGTGTGATGCTGGATGATGACTTCCTTAATGTGTTCTAATTCAGCCCAACTTCCTGTTTTATTTGTATGTTCATTGGTTCCTGCCCTTCTCTTTTCCCATAGTTCTTCATTGGAGATCCTTTCAGGCCATTGAATGTTGAATATGCGCGTGAGAAAAGTGTTATAAAATGTCTGGATCTTCTGCAGGATAACTCTAGTCATCTTCCACGTCTCTGCACCATACAACAGGATGGACTTTACATTTTAGTTGAGGATCCGCAGTTTAGTGGTAATACGGATATTCTCTGGAGCCCAGATGTTCTTAACATGGTAAATGCAGTTCTTGTCTTGCCATTTCTTGACTTGATGTCGCGGTCTGTGCCACTCTGTCTATCCACCACACTCCCCAGGTAGATGAAGGACTCAACACCTTTGATGGGCTCACCACCAACTGTGACTGGTGCTTGGACAGTGGTGTTTGTCATCATCAGTTCCAACTTTACTTGGCACTTAAAAACATTGACCAGTAAGAAATCTGTTTAATGCCAAAATATAATACGTCACGGAACATAGGTTTATTCGGTCTCATATAAAGG